GCTGAAGAGAAGTTGTAGGCTTCAAGGTGGAGATTGTTAATTGTTGAAGCCCACAGTGACGCCGTCTAAAGGAAAATTAAAGAACTACAATTTTATTTCTCTTCAAATCTTGATCATCAATTCAAGAGGCATCCAACGGCTGCAAATGACCTTGAAGTCAACACTATAAAAGAGCCCAAAATGTTCCTGTTCAGCAGATTGCAATATCTCTCTTCTCTACGTCTTTATTCATTCACTTTTCCTAGGTTCTTGTTAATACTCAAAATGATTAATCTTTGTACAATCTATGAGATTGTTCATTGGGGGTTGTGATTCCTTCAATGATTAGAGGAGTTGGGTAGTCTTTCTCTAGGATCAAAGATTATTGTAAAGGGTTGTGTGAATAGTTAGCTAGTGAGTGAGCAATTCTTGATGAATGATTGTTGTACTCTGTAAACACATTTGATAACTCTAGTGCAACGGGCCTCAGTGTTCTGGAGCTCAACGTGGACGTAGCTTGTTCAACCTTGAACAAGTGAACCACGATAATTTGGTGTTTTTTGTCTTCTTGATTGATCTGTGTGATTTGGTTGATTTAGGTGTGTGTTTAGACTCTAAGTATAACAACTTTATTGAGTAAGGAGTCAGGTCTACCTCAAATTTTATCAAAGAGGTATGACTCCTCATATGGGCTTGACCATGAGAGAGAGTGTTAGAGTCTCACACCAATTAGACACGCTCAAGCCTACTGCTTTATAAAAGGGGATAATCCTCTCATTTAACAAGGCCTTATTGGGTGTGAAGAGTCGGATCCACCTCAAATTCTATCAAAGAAAGATGACTTTACCTGGTGAATCAGGCTAGTAAAGTGGATCAGAAACCTGAACAAAAGATATAGTTCCCATAAACCAACTTATTCGTGAAGAATCCTCATATTTTCAAAAAACTTAAATTTATATTTATATCATATTCACGTATAATTAATTTAATATATATAGTCAAAATTTTGAAAGTTGTTTTGTTATGAGAAAAAACAAAAATAATTTAATATAATTTCAAATATTCTTACACAAATTATCATGAATTATCATTTAAATTTGACATATTATCTAAAAATATGAAGCATAAATTACCTTGCTAAAAGAATAAAAAAATTGTTCATTAGAGATTTGTTATTGATATAAAAATTATTGATCCTTACCTCCCAAATTAGGAAAGGCAAAAGGGGGCAGGCATAATGCCTATTCAATTCTCCAATTTATTTGAGCGAAACAAGATAGAAAATCTCCACTAAACCCACCTCATTTCCCAAATCAATAATGTTAGACGTACAAACAAATCATATAAAAATTTATATACAAATTGATGTGACAGAAAATGAATGAAAGAGTAAGTACAAAAAGTCAAACTCATTATATTCACTTTTCCATTCATTTCTTACTATATCAGTTTGTATAAAAATTGTTGTAAGATTGTTTTGTATGTCTGGCATTACTCTTCCCAAATTATTTTAGTGGTAGTGATGTTAAGATGGACACATATACTATACTATAGTATCTATGTTAAAAATAAATATCATTCTAATTAAACAAAACATTATCATATAGAATTAATATTTTGAATAAAAACAACAATCAACATATAAATAACAATATAAAACAAAAACAAAAAAAAAAGTAAAAAGTTTAAACAAGCTATGGTCAAAGTGAAATGCCAATCGCCAAGTGAAAATGTTCCAAAAACCGAATCGTACTATGACCCGTTCAAGGGTCCGGTTTTCGGTTTGATCGGTTGGATCAGTCGGTTGAACCGTATTCTGTAAAATTATTTTTAGCCCTTAAATGTTTGAAATTCATCAAAAACATCCCTTAATACTCCCTTAAGGTTTTAAATCTATCCAAAACACCCCTGTCGCTCGAAGAGACTAGTGATGGTGGCGGCAGCGACGATCGACGACCAATTGAGGTTTGGAATCATGGGGGCTTTTTGATGTATAGGTGCCGGCGAATCTGATAGTGGTACTAGGGAGTTCCATCGGTGCCGGAACTCGCCGAAATCAAGAAAGAAGTCCGATGGTCGTGTGAACTTTAGGTCGACGGTAAGCGACGAAGGCTGGACGATGACCACTGAAAATGGCTGGGTTTTTTCGTGGAGATGCCGTCAAGTCTAATGGTGGTGTTTTCTCCCTCGAACGATGCCGGAATCCGACGAGATTGAGCTACTATTGGATAGTGATTCGGTACTATTCCGGCGGTCCAACCACGGTCTAATCCGATTTGAATGAAATTAATGGTTTTCAAAGGATACCGAACCAGATATACAGCCGGTTACCAGTTGAACCGGTCCGACTGGACAGTCTGATCCAGTTTTCAGAACATTGGACTGAAAAGGTTTAACATTTTTGGAACTCGGAGAAAATGCTCATTATTTAGTTAATTAATTATATCTTTGTAGTCAAAAAGGCAATGCGGTTAGCCGCCTGGTCACTGTCCAAATTCCAACCAAAGTCTTCATATAATTGAAATGTTTTGAACAGAAGCAAACCTCAGTCATGACAACTTTTACTTGAAAACTAGATTATAAATAAGAGAGCTGCCAACAAAATATAGGTTAATAAACCAGATTGACATTTATTAGTGAATATTCAAATCAAGAACGATTTCGGAATTTCTTCCTGGGTATGTTAATGTTCTTAAAACCAATCCCTTCAGGAATTTTCCTTCTAAAATCCATACCCAATTTGATTTATTTCTTTGTATTTCACAGGCATGAGATTGTTGGTGTGGTAACTCAAGTGGGAAACAAAGTGCAAAACTTCAAAGTAGAAGATAAGGCAGGAGTGGAAGGTATAATACGCTCATGTGGCAGCTGTGATCGGTGCCAAAATGAGTTGGAAAACTATTGCCCTAAAGGATCCACACCAGCCCAATCGTTGATGATGGTGGGGATAAAAACTATGGAGGATTTTCTGATATTCGTCGTTAGATCTGGTCACATATTTGCTTGGGTTGCAAAACTTTCTACCATCTTTGTGTTTTCAGGTAAGTATATTATCTTTTACATATTTTGGCTTGAAATTTGTTTTGGATTTTTCTGGGTTTGGAGTTTATATTGTCTCCTTTAGTCAATTTTATATTGTTTGGTGGATGTTTAAGTGGAGGAAATGGATTTAATCCAATCCCATACTTTGATTAATTTGATGCAAATGCGATTTATATATCAATTTACCATTAATTTATTATTTATTGTATTTTCTACTTTTTAATTTAAATTAAGAATTAAATGAGCTTTTTTGCATTTTAATTAATTAAGAATTAATTGAATGATTTATTCGTATGATTTATATACTTATTATTCTNCCGGTTTAATGTGAATATTCAAAGTAAACCCAGTCATGACGACTTGTTCTTGAAAACTAGATTATAAATAAGAGAGCTGGCAACAACTAGGTTTAATGTGAAAGGAATGGCAGGTTTAACGACTTGTTCTGAGATTCGTCGTTAGATCTGGTCACATATTTGCTTGGGTTGCAAAACTTTCCACCATCTTTGTGTTTTGAGCTGATTTGCTGAGTAAGTATACATTATCTTTTACATATTTTGTTGCTTGAAATTTGTTCCGGATATTTCTGGGTTTGAAGCTTATATTGTCTCCTTTAGTCAATTTTATATTGTTTGGTGGAACTTTAAGTGGAGGAAATGGATTTAATCCAATCCCATCCTTGATTAATTTGATGCAAATGCCATTTATATATCAATTTACCATTAATTTTATTATTTATTGTATTTTCTATTTTTTTATTTAAATTAAGAATTAAATGAGCTTTTTTGCATTTTAATTAATTGAATGATTCATATACTTATTATTCTATTTTTTTTTTTAATAATTTAACATGAGATATGTTTTTAGCATTTATATTTCATGACGTAATTTAATATTCATATTATGTTCTTATACTTAATAATATACAAAACCTAGGCTATGTTTTATATATAATTTTTATTCTATTTCTTTTGATTTAAAAAGAGAGATTGAAATATTATATACTATAAAAATATATATTCTTTAATGAAATATATACATATATAGAAAATGTAAAAATATATGAATAAATTGACGTTAAATGTATTAATTTTCCAGTGTAAATATATATTTTCCAATGGCAAAGCTTTATAACAAATTATAACATTTCTACAATCTTTAGGATATATGTTTCCCCAGCAGGATGAATTTATTTTTCTACAACATTTTGTACGTTTCCTAATATGATACATAATATTTTCAATAGCCCCAACAAATTGTCAATGACATATTATCGTAAGTAGAGTTGTTTTCATATTTCCTACAAGTTTAATAATATGGTACGATGTATAGCTTTTTATATGGCAATAACACATTATCGACAACATATTACTATTTCAAAAAGTGTTTCGGTAAATTCAACATTTTGTAGGAGTGATTCATATTTGCAATGCCACTTTATCCTATGGAATGAACAACTTTCTCGTAGTATTCTTACTAAGTCTAAGCTTTAGTAAAACTTTAAAAATCTAATTAGTCTTTTTGTTGCCAGTTTTATATATGTTTATTGTACATGCATGTATAAGGCTGGTTGATACCGAGTGTCATCTTTTTTTAGAAAGAGAATTGATGTTTATTAGATTGCTTATTACAAGTCTTATGTAAAAGTGTCATATTCTTTCATATATCAAGTACTTTTAAATATGTTAGCAGTGTATCAGATTTATTGTTGCAAGTGTTATTTAAATGTATAATTTATACTGAGTGTTATGTATATATATATGTCTTCACAAGGAAAAACAAAACAGAAAAAGAGTGATAGACGATCAGTGGAAGAAGCTTAGTGGTGCTGGGAACTGGGATGGTCTCTTGAAACCTCTTGACAAAGATCTGGAAAATCTTTAAGTCTCTGTATTGAAAGTATTCAAGTTATTCGTGACGCCGTTAGTCATCATGATAAAAGAAAACCTGCCCATCAAGAGAAAGATTTATTCTCTGAAATGGGAAGAAAAAAATTGGAAAAGTTATACACTGTGACTCACTATATATATGCAAGGTCAGATGTTCCTTCCTTGGTTAATTGGATTGTTAAAGACAAATCTGCTTGGATTGGTTATGTGGCTGTAGCCACAGATGAAGGAAAGGAAGTGCTAGGAAGAAGAGACATTTTGATTTATTGGAGAGGAACTAATTCTAAGACCGAATGGCTCGAAGATTTTGATTGCAATTTGACATCAGCGTCAGAAATTTTTGGGAAAACCCATAATCCACATGTGCACGAAGGATTTCTCTCCCTCTACAAGTCATCAAATATTGAACCAGCCTCATACAATAAGTGGAGTGCCAGAGATCAGGTAATTTTTTATTTTTTCTGATAAATCATAATTTTTATTATTTCTGATACATAATCCACTAGTTGATATATGCTTTCATTATTGGTATATAAATGTTTAGGTGTTGCATGCAGTTAAGACACTGGTGAATAAGGTTGATTACAGAGATGAGGAAATCAGTATAACTGTAACAGGTCACTGTCTCGGCGCAGCGCTTGCCACATTGAGCGCAACTGACATAGTTGCCAACAAGCATAATAGGTGCACTGGATCAGACAAAATATGCATGGTCACGGCCTTCGTGTTTGCAAGCCCCAAGGTTGGAGATAAAGGATTCAGGGAAGTATTCCATCGACTCAGCAATCTTCATCTGTTGCGTATTAAAAATAAATTGGACGTTGTACCTAAACTTCCTCCTTTCCCTCCCTATGAACACGTGGGATTAAAGTTCTCTTTAAGAGTTACAAGGAACTGTTATCAAAACTTGAGGAAGGGCTTCATTTTCATAGTTTGAAGCAGCTTAATACTTTTTTTTTACGGGTGTGCGAGTCGGCTTAGGCTTACATGCACCTTGATTAGTCCTTCAACGTAATCCTTTGACGTCGAACAAAGCTTTCGAAACAAGACAAATCCTGCATCAACAATATTAATAACCCATTTGAACTTAAAATCATAGGGAGAGCAGAGCCCTTGGCCCCGATCCTTAACTTTTCTAAATTTTTCCTCTGCATATGAAAGGAGGAGATTGATTGTAAAACAATGTAGGCAACAAGTAGAGCTGATACAGCAGCATTCCTTTGGCAACAGGACATTTCTATCCCAAAAAAATGAATGTTAATCTCTCACTGTTAATTTCTATCTGATTACAGCTCAAACATTTAACTAGGAATAAGCAAACTCTTCATATAAGGATGGCAACCAGAGAGGATCCACCATGGAGAATGCTTTCATTCCACTTTATGCAACCATCAATATACCAAACCCTGAGAGAAAAAAAATTCAAACCCAGTTCAAATTCAAAGTCAGAAACACAAACCCAGTTAAAAAAACATTAAATTTAGCAAGCAACCACATCAAAATTCAAACCAAACCCAGCAGCAGAAAGAAACACAGTTGAAAAATCCAGACCCAGAAGCAGAAACACAGTTGAAAAATTCAAAGGAGAAAGATGAAAAAAAATTTGGACCATTTCTCGATTTGTGCGTGTCATCCTTGCGCAGGGGCCATGCTAATCTTCTCTGTATCGTTCCAATTTTATCGGATGTCTCCGAAGAGACAAAGCATCGTTGCCATCCCTTTTCTTATAACTATGCCGCTGTTCTTTCAACTAGACAATGTGGGATTAGTTGGTTTCTAAGCATATGCCTCATTATACACGTCACGTGACTTTTAATGAATTGAGTAAATTCGTCACGACTGGTACCCGGGTTGTTAATATTGAGCCTGGAGCCCTGCCCCACAATGCTATACCATGGGCCTAATGTATCAGCCCTTATTCATTTAGAGGTTTTTTTCTTTTTACTTTTTAAAATTAAATTTATTAATTTCATCTGTGTAATTAAATTGTTCTCTTTCAGGGAATTTATTTTTGTGACAAGTCTGATGCATGTTATTATAACTTCACTGGACTTAAATTTATATTTACATCATATTCGCATATAATTAATTGAATATATATAATCAAAGTTTTGAAAGTTGGTTTTTTATGAGAAAAAATGAAAATAATTTGAAATATTCTTGCACAAATTATTATGAATTATCATTTAAATTTGACATATTATCTAAAAATATGAAGCATAGATTGCCTTGCTAAAAAAAAAAAAAAATTGTTCATTAGAGATTTGTTATTGATATTAAAATTATCGATCCTTACTTCCCAAATTAGGAAAGGCAAAGGGGCGGAGGCATAATGCCTATTCTATTCTCCAATTTATTTGAGCGAAACGGGATAAAAAATCTCCTCCTAAACCTACCTCATTTCTCAAATCAATAATGCTAGACTTACAAATAAATCTTATAAAAATTTATATACAAATTGATGTGACAGAAAATGAATGAAAAAGTGAATATAAAAAGTCAAACTTATTATATTCATTTTTCCATTTATTCTTACTACATCAGTTTGTATATAAATTGTTATAAGATTTATTTGTATTTTGAGTATTACTCTTCCCAAATTATTTTAGTGGTAGTGATGTTAAGACGGACACATATACTATACTATAGTATCTATGTTAAAAATAAATATCATTCTAATTAAACAAAACATTATCATATAGAATCAATATTTTGAATAAAAACAACAATGAACATGTCAAAGTGAAATGCCAATCGCCAAGTGAAAAGCTTTGACATTTTTGGAACTTGGAGAAAATGATCATTATTTAATTAATTAATTATATCTTTGTAGTAAAAAAGGCAATTCGGCTACCAGCTAGCTGCCTGGTCATTAGGGGTGTTCAAAAGAACCGTTCGGAACCAAAACCGTTGGGTACCTGGTATTTGGTTCTGGTTCCTACCCAGAACCGATCTTCAACGGGTAAGTTCCGGTTCCAAAAATCTGGAACCGATACTGTACGGTTCTGGTTTCGGTTCCTATAGTCAACAACCGGAATCAGAACCGAGAACCGGGACTGAAATGAAATGTTATTAAAGAGTGGGGGGTTATTGTAATTTACCTATCACATATAAAAACTTCAGATTAGGGCAAAAAAATTCATTTTCTTTCTTCCCTTCCCACGATCTTCATCTGCTCTTGCTGCTTTCTGTCCACTCACTTCAGATTAAGATAAAAACTTCAGCTTTTTTTCCTTTGCAAAAAATTTCATTTTCTTTCTTCCCTTCTCACGATCTTTGTCTGCTCTTGCTCTCTGTCCACTCACTTCAGATTAAGGCAAAAACTTCAGCTTTTTTTTCCTTTAATTTGCTTGGTTTTGTGAAACGTGATCCTTGGAATCTAGAAGAAGACACTAAAGCACTCCAATTTCTTAAGGTAATTTCCATTTCTTTCTTTTAATTTTATTTTTGAATTTTAACTTGATCTACAGATCTAGAGTAACTTCATTTCTGCTATAGAGTAACTACAGATCTAGGTTTGTTCTTTTTGTTCTAAGACCATGGAAGAGTTAAGATTTAATTTTGGGAAGAGTTAGTTTATACGTTGCGTTTATACGGTGTGTCTGATAGCACATATTTGGATGGAGTTTGTTAATGACTATGCAATTTGCGAGATGATAGTATTGAAATAAAGTAGTTTTTAAACATATATGATACAACAGAATTGTATACTCCGCTTGGATTTTGGAAGAAAGGTGCTTTTTTTTTTTTTTTTTTTTAACATTCTGGCATTGAACAATACCATGTAAACATGTTTTTGAGACTTTGTAATTCCTTATGAGAATAAACTTCTTCGTAAATTTTAGGTTCATTGCCAGAAATTGGTTGAAGAGATGGAAACTTTTCAAGTCTATGAGAATAATATCAATGTCCATATGTATATATATAGTCGCGAAGAAAAGAAAGGAACAAACGAAAATGAGAATAGGGAAAGTTCCCCTGATGAATTGCCAATCTGTATTATAGCTTTTATGTCATTACGTGTTACCTTCTAATTGCAAATTGTAATTTATTTTGCCATCTAACCAAAAATTCCTTATAATATAGACAAGTAGTTGGTTGTCCATCTCTTTTTGGTTGTTGTATATTTGGGTCCTGTACACTTTTTCTTTTAAGTGATTGTGATGATCTAGCATTTCATATGAAGGCTGCTAAGAATTTTCTTTGGCTAGATCTTAATTTCTCCTGAAGTGACGGGATGTGTGTCCTTATGAGAGTTCATATGCTTACTAATTAATTTTTTTGTATTTGTTTTATAGAAATTAATGTACATGAGGCGAGCAATTTAGAGCATGAAACATGAGATATTTTTAGTTTTTCATATTTGGATGTTGTTAATTGTTATGTTACTAATTTTATATGTTATGTAATTTCATCGTTTTAGTTTTGGAGTTTATAATTTTGAATTTGTGATTTTCAATGGATTATTGTAATATTTTAATTTTGAATTTGTGATTTTCAATAGATCATTTTAATTTTGGAGTTTGAAATATGAAATTTATAATTTTAATTTTGTTAATAAGTGCCAAGTGGGGGGTATTTGTAAGTTTTTAAGAGTTTTTTTTATCATTTTAAAAACTTTGGAGGGGGGATAATGAATTTTACAAGGTATCCAGAACCGGAACCGGTTCCAAAATTCAAGGAACCGGAACCATCAGTTCCGGTTCCAATTCCGATTCCTTCCAAAAGTTTAGGGTACCCGGAACCGAACAGCCTTACTGGTCACTATCCAAATTCCAACCAAAGTCTTCATATCAGATCATAATGTGGTATATGTCACGAGTAATGCTACAGCCATGATAGTAATGCACTAAATTTATGCACCGAATGACATGACAAAATCCTGACCATTGATTAATATTAAATTAAAATTAATCAATGGTCAAGATTTTGCCACGTCATTCGATGCATAAATTCGGTGCACTACCGTCGGTGACTGTATTATTTTCCATATGTCACATCTAAATAAATTTTTAATTATGATCAATTTTTCATATTATAATATATATATAGTATCTATCACATCCAAATAAAATTTTAATTATGGTCAATTTTTCATATTATAATAGAATTATTATTAGTAAAATAACCATGAAGTAAAAAAATGGTGTAATAAATTTTTAATTATGATTAATTTTTCATATTATAATATATATATGGTATATATCACATCCAAATAAATTTTTAATTATGGTCAATTCTTCATATTATAATAGAATTATTATTAGTAAAATAATCATGAAGTAAAAAAATGGTGTAATAAAATTTTAATTATGATCAATTTTTCATATTATAATATATATATGGTATATATCACATCCAAATAAATTTTTAATTATGGTCAATTTTCATATTATAATAGAATTATTGTTAGTCAAATAATCATGAATTGAAAAAATGGTGTAAAGGTAATATTACTCAATTTAAAATGTATAGAACATAAGCAAGCCTCAGTCATGGCAACTTTTTCTTGAAAACTAGATTATAAATAAGAGAGCTGCCAACAAAATATAGATTAATAAACCAGATTGAAATTTATTAGTGAATATTCAAATCAAGAACGATTTCGGAAGTTCTTCCTGGGTATGTTAATGTTCTTAAAACCAATCCCTTCAGGAATTTACCTTCTAAAATCATGCCCAATTTGATTTATTTCTTTGTATTTCACAGGCATGAGATTGTTGGGGTGGTAACTCAAGTGGGAAACAAAGTGCAAAAATTCAAAGTGGAAGATAAGGCAGGAGTGGAAGGTATAATAGGCTCATGTGGCAGCTGAGATCAGTGCCAAAATGAGTTGGAAAACTATTGCCCTAAAAGGATCCGCACAATCTTTGATGTGGTGGGGATAAAAACCATGGAGGATTTTCTTATATTCGTCGTTAGATCTGGTCACATATTTGCTTGGGTTGCAAAACTTTCTACCATCTTTGTGTTTTGAGCTGATTTGCTGAGTAAGTATATTATCTTTCACTTATTTTGTTGCTTGAAATTTGTTTTGGATTTTTCTGGGTTTGAAGTTTATATTGTCTCCTTTAGTCAATTTTATATTGTTTGGTGGAACTTTAAGTGGAGGAAATGGATTTAATCCAATCCCATCCTTGATTAATTTGATGCAAACGCCATTTATATATCAATTTACCATTAATTTATTATTTATTGTATTTTCTACTTTTTAATTTAAATTAAGAATTAAATGAGCTTTTTTGCATTTTAATTAATTAAGAATTAATTGAATGATTTATTCGTATGATTTATATACTTATTATTCTTTTTTTTTTTTTTTTTATAATTTAACATGAGATATATCTTTAGCATTTATGTTTCATGACGTAATTTGATATTCATATTATGTTCTTATACTTAATAATATACAAAACCTAGGCTATGTTTTATATATAATTTTTATTATTGAAATATTATGTACTATAAAATATATATTCTTTAATGAAATATATACATATATATAGAAAATGTAAAAAATATATGAATAAATTGACGTTGAATGTATTAATTTTCCAATGGCAAAGCTTTGTAACAAATTACTCCCTCCGTTTCTAAATAAGTGTCATTTTAAGCTTTTATATAGTTTTTAATGAATCAAAAACTGTGCAGACAATTGACTTTTTCCTCGTATTGTAGGCGGGAAAATTTTGTTTTTCCTTACTACAACACGTGTGTGAAATATTAAAATAAAGAGAGATAAATTGTGAAAGAGAGGAGATGAGGGGAAGAGATAGATAAAGAGAGAGAGGAGTGTGGTGCAAGGTAGAGAAAAAGATGGAGAAAGGGGATGAGGGGCAGAGTGGAGAATGAAAATGTGGGTCAGAAAACATTGAAAAAAGAGAACGTCATTTATTTTGAAAAAAATTATTACTCTCAAAACGACTTTTATTTTTGAAACAGAAGGAGTATAACATTTCTGCAATCTTTAGGATATATGTTTCCTACACTATTACCAACAGGATGAATTTATTTTTCTACTACATTTTGTATGTTTCCTAAAAGATTATATAAATAAGATACATAATTTTTTCAATAGCCCCAACAAATTATCAATGATATATTATCGTCGGTAGAGTTGTTTTCATATTTCCTACAAGTTTAATAATATGGTACGATGTATAGCTTTTTATATGGCAATAACACATTATCGACAACATATTACTATTGCAAAAAGTGTTTTTCTAGTTTCGGTAAATTCAACAGCGTTCGACCAAGTCTTTTTGTAGGAGTGATTCATATTTGCAATGCCACTTTATCCTATGGAATGAACAACTTTCTCGTAGTATTCTTATTTAGTTTAAGCTTTAGTTAAACTTTAAAAATCTAATTAGTCTTTTTGTTGCCAGTTTTATATATTTTTATTGTACATGCATGTATAAGGCTGGTTGATACCGAGTGTCATCTTTTTTTAGGAAGAGAATTGATGTTTATTAGATTGCTTATTACAAGTCTTATGTAAAAGTGTCATATTCTTTCATATTTCAAGTACTTTTAAATTTGTTGGTAGTGTATCAGATTTATTGTAGCAAGTGTTATTTAAATGTATAATTTATACTGAGTGTTATATATGTCTTCACAAGGAAAAACAAAACGGAAAAAGAGTGATGGACGATCAGTGGAAGAAGCTTAGTGGTGCTGGGAACTGGGATGGTCTCTTGGAACCTCTACACAAAGTTCTCCAAAAACGTTTAAAGCTCTATTGTGAAAGTATTCAAGTTATTTATGACTCCGTTAGTAATCATGATAAAAGACAACCTGCCCATAAAAAGGAAGATTTATTCTCTAAACCGAAAACAAAAGAATTGGAAACGTTATACACTGTGACTCACTATATATATGCAAGGTCAGATGTTCCTTCCTTGGTTAATTGGATTGTTAAAGACAAATCTGCTTGGATTGGTTATGTGGCTGTAGCCACAGATGAAGGAAAGGAAGTGCTAGGAAGAAGAGACATTTTGATTTGTTGGAGAGGAACTAATTCTAAGACCGAAGGGCTCAAAGATTGTGAATGCAGTTTGATCTCAGCGTCAGACATTTTTGGGAAAACCCATAATCCACATGTGCACAAAGGATTTCTCTCCCTCTACAAGTCGCCAAATATTGAACCACCCTCATACAATGATTTGAGTGCCAGAGATCAGGTAATTTTTTATTTTTTCTGATAAATCATAATTTTTATTATTTCTGATGCATAGTCCACTAGTTGATATATGCTTTCATTATTGCTGTATATATGTTTAGGTGTTGCATGCAGTTAAGACACTGATGAATAAGGTTGATTACAGAGATGAGGAAATCAGTATAACTGTAACAGGTCACAGTCTTGGCGCAGCGCTTGCCACATTGAGCGCAACTGACATAGTTGCCAATAAGCATAATAGGCGCAAAGGATCAGACAAAAAATGCATGGTCACGGCCTTCGTGTTTGCGACCCCCAAGGTTGGAGATAAAGGATTCAGGGACGTATTCGATCAACTCAGCGAACTTCATCTGTTGCGTATTAAAAATAAATTGGACGTTGTACCTAAACTTCCTCCCCTCCCTGCCTATGAACACGTGGGAATAAAGTTAAAGATTGAGAGTTACAAGGAACTGTTACCGAAACTTAAGGAACTGTTATCGAAACTTAAGGAAGGGCTTCATTTTCATAGTTTGAAGCAGCATGTGGTTGGACTTGGACGAACCACGAGGTCCATGTTTCACAGGTAATTATCTTCTAAAATGCTATCTTTGATTGGCATTTAGGATACCATTTCACTCGTGAAGGAATAGTCAATCCTCCCTGCGCCTAATAAACAGGGGATGAGTCAGATTGAGGTTTCCTTTACTGTTCAATCAATTAGCTTTGTTTACTGTGTGTTGTGTTGTGCTGTTGGTTTTGTCTGTGTTTCCCAAGTCTTTTTATCAACGTCTTGGCCTCGGTCCAAATTGCCAGTGATCTTTAAGTATCGTGTGCAATCCGTTATTTTAATATATATTATCTTATCAATCTTTGGCCAATGAAGCTACAGCCATGCTTTGAGTGCTAACAGATTTAACAGAATAAGATGAATTGTTCATGCACAATTTTGAATAATTAAGGACCGGAGTTCAGAAGCAAATGAGCAAAATCTCATCCTGCCTTATGGAGAAGGAGGTGAAGAAACTATTAGGATCATTTTTCAATTTTATTTACATTATTATTGAGTATATGTTGTCCTAATATTCTCTCTTTATCATTCCAATAGGAATAATGACATGGAAAAGGGTAGCTTTAATATGGGCATCTCCAAAATGCACCAAACAAGATGTTTGATTGATGAAACCAAGTTAAATGTGGAACCAAGTTCAATTGGACATCTTTCTATAACTGTGTCCCAGTTAACTGTATCAATGTGGAACCAAATTCAATTGTATGATAAGTGTCTCCCCAGGAATACTGGAGAAAAAACAATCTCTATTCAAACTATCTGAGTTCTCGCTGCTACAAGCCAATCTGAATCCATAATCTGCCTCATGGTCCATCAGAAAGCGAAAGACTGGGATGGTGGCTTTCTGACCTGTTAAAAATTAAGAGAGCGAAAAGACGGGTTACAAATGCAGGCAGGCGAGACTTTCTGTCATCCCTTTGAATTTTGATTAGTTTAACTTTCTGCAATTTAGAGTTCGAGCAAAGGCATGACCAAAGATAGTTAAAACAGTAAATTAATAATTTCGTGTTGAATTTGCCGGTTGCTGCGAAGACACATGATGTTGTAGGATTTACTCGGTAGGGTCTGGATTTGGTGCTGTACTTGGGCCGAAAAGATGAGCTCAGCCCAAAAGAAATTTTATGGGTGTTAACTAAGATAGCAGCTAGTTAATTTTAAGTAAAGCCCAATAAAATAAGGCCCAGGGAGGAAAATATTGACTTAACAAGACAGACGAATTGGAAAAAAAACCTTAATATTTTTTTTTTCAAGAGTGTTGAAGTCAGTTTACATGCACCTTGATTAGTCCCTGATCAATAATATTAATAACCGTTATTGAACCTAAAATGAGCAGAGCCCTTGCCCCAATCCTTTAGACCATCTCCAACCCATTGCACCAAATTGGTGCAAATTTTGGTTCAAAACACTATTCCATCTCCAACCCACGACACCAAATATTGCACTAAAAAGAATATTCCTTAGAATATTTTTTTTCTTTTATTGTAATAATCAACAATTAATCCATTTCACTCATTATTTTTGTATATATTAATTAAATATTGGGAATGATATTTTTATTAAATAATAATTAATTTTATGGCAATAATAAAAAATTAATTTATTTCACTCATTATTTTTGTATATATTAATTAAATATTGGGAATGATATTTTTATTAAATAATAATTATGTTGAAAATTATACTAATTTAATAACTCTAGTTCTTTTCAATATTTTGATGATCTTACTGGATCTATAACTAATCTACCGGAATACTAAATTGTTATTTTAGTTTATGTTGTATTTTCTTTTAATTTTAGTGTTTTTAAATTAGTGTTAATTTTTATTTTGAGTTGTTGTAGTTTAACATTTGTATTGAATAAAGTTTTATTTTTAATTTTTCATCATTTTTTTAATTATATCATTATTATGAATTTATTATTATAAATAATAATCAAATTAAATTAAATACAAATAATCAAATTTGGTGTGATTTTTGATGTAAAATTTAATACTCAAATTAACTTAACAAAATTAAAAAAAAAAAAAAAGCAAAATCAAAAAAAAGAAAAAAAATTTATTGGCGCTACAGTGCCACGCCAATTTGGCGTAGCACTATAGCGTTTGGTGTGGGTTGGAGATGCCCTTACTACTCGTCTAACCTAGGTTAACTTTTCTAAATTTTTCCTCTGCATATGAAAGGAGGAGATTGATTGTAAAACAATGCCGGTAACAAGTAAAGCTGATACAGCAGCATTCCTTTGGCAACTGGACATTTCTATCCCAAAAAAATTAATGTGAATCTCTCACTATTAATTTCTATCTGATTACGGTTCAAAAATTTAACTAGAAATAAGCAAACTCTTCATATAAGAAAGGCAACCAGAGAGGATCCACCAAGGAGAATGCTTTCATTCCACTTTATGCAACCATCAATATACCAAACCCTGAGAGAAAAAAAATTCAAACCCAGTTCAAATTCAAAGTCAGAAACACAAACCCAGTTAAAAAAACATTAAATTTAGCATGCAACCATCAAAATTCAATCCAAACCCAACAGCAGAAAGAAACATAGTTGAAAAATCCAGACCCAGAAGCAGAAACACAGTTGAAAAATTCAAATCAGAGGGAGAGAAAAAAATTTGGACCATTTCTCGATTTGTGCGTGTCATCCTTGCGCAGGGGCCATGCTAATCTTCTCTGTATCGTTCCAATTTTATCGGATGTCTCCGAAGAGACAACCCATTAATGCCTTCTCTTTTGTTATAAATATGCCGCTGTTCTTTCAGCTAGACAATGTGGGAGAGTTGGTTTCTAACCAGATAACTCAATTTACACGTCACGTGATCTGTTGACTTTTAATGAATTGAATAAATTCGTCACGACTAGCACCCGGGTTGTTAATATTGGGCCTGGAGCCCTACAATGCTCAACCTTGGGCCTAATGTATCAGGCCTTATTCGTTAAAAGGCTTTTTTTTTTTTCTTTTTTAAAATTAAATTTATTAATTTCGTCTATGTAATTAAATTGTTCTCCTTCAAAGAATTTATTTTTGTGACAAGACTGATGCATGTTATTATAATTTCACTGAGTTTAATTTTATATTTAAATCATATTCGCATATAATTAATTTAATATATATAATCAAAACGAAAATAATTTAATATAATTTAAAATTTTCATCACTTTGACAAGATCATCTCCATTAACAAAGTAATATCAGCTTTGATCATAACGTTTATATTAAAATCTGACAATTGATAAGAGTCAATAACATTGTGGTAGTCTTATATATTTTGTTAAAAAAAAAAAAAATTATAATCATTGACTCTACCCATTATATTAGGGAGAGTCTTCTAATTATTTCTATATATTTGATAGCCAAATAATTTTATTTATTAATCTTTCAAAAATTAAGATTATATTAAAAAAAAAAAAAAGAATTATGGGTATTTCGTTGGTAAGACTTCTTGTGATTGTATAAAGTAATATTGAATGGTGTTATTCTAATTTAAATATTTATATCTTAATTTAATGCAATATTCTGTAATCAATTACAGTTTTTATTATCCAAAAATAATTTTAATAAACACGAAAATGGCAGTCATTATCAGTAAAGGATCAACATTTGACTATTCAAACTATTTCTTGTCCAAGAGGTAGCCTATTGAAGACAATTATAAGTTGTCTAATTAAGAATATTCAAGTTTTCACATCTAATTATGTTGAATTAAATAGGTTACTGTAAGACCCTCAATGCCAAGGGCAAGGGCAGGCATGTGGCTTTCATCCTTAGCCACAGCCTTACCAAGACAACACACGGGTGTGTGCTGAACAAGGATGGGCGAGATCAGGTATGGGTGCTAGAGTGTTGGGATGCTAAGTACTTACTGATGAGATGGCTAGCGGGTGTGGGCACTTGCAAGCTAGAACATGCGCGTGTAGGCATGTGTTGACATGGGTGTAGTGCGCTCATGGGCAGGCTAAGCAGAGGCACACGAGCTGGGACGTGTGCTAATATGCAAGACAGACAACAAGTGACTAAATTCATGCATGAGGCAGAAAGCAACATGCGTGAGGTGCATGGGGGCGGCACTAGATGATGAGAACAATCAGACAAGGCTGCATGGTTGCTGGACAAAGGATATGGGGCAGATATATGTGTCCAGATACACTTGTATGTAAAGCCAACTGCTATGTAACTACTAGATAGGGTTGTAACTGCTGTTGTAACCTATGTAACTGCTATGTCAATTTGTATATAAGGCAAGCAGGCTGTAAATTCATGAGAGGGTGAGAGGGCAAGGGATATATGTGCTTGTATACCTTGTTGTAACTTGGGTGCTGAATCTGTGATTGGAGATCAGATTGTAAACAGTGGGAAACACTGTGTGAGTGCTTGAGTTTCCTTGTATTCAGAATTATATAATATAAGGTTGGGATTTTCCTGTATCTGTTGTGCATTTACTCTCATTAACCTCTGTTGTATTGTGTTTGTAATTTTGTAACAGGGAAACACACAACTTGAGGAAGGCTGACAAGTGCTTGGTGCGCTTGTGCCATGCAGTGCCTAGAGGCGAGTTTAGGCCCTGTGACAGTGGTATCAGAGCCCGGTTGTAACCAGGTTCGTTCTTGTATTTCCTTATTATTGTTTCATGCCAAAAAGGGTTGAGATGGACGCTTTAAGGGAAAGAGTGACTCGGTTAGAGGAGATGCTGGGTGAGATTCAAGATGGTCAGACTATGACCATCAATGAGTGACTTGATCAAATTGATCAGAGTTTCGAAATTTTCCATAAGCAATTTATGGAAATAGTGGATTTGACTAACAAGAGACTGGAGGCCTTAGAGAATGACAATGTCTTGCTGAAGCATGCCCTCCCTCGTAGTCTTGATAGGAGAAGTACAACCAAGATAAGTGTGCCCAAACCAAAGGCTTTTCAGGGTGCTAAAAACGCCAAGGAGTTGGAAAATTTCTTGTTGGATATGAAGTAGTACTTTGAGGCCGTAAAAGTCCCTGATGTGGAGAAGGTCTCGATTACTAGCATGTATTTGGCTGGTGATGCTAAATTGTGGTGGCGCACAAGATTGGCAGATGATGTGAGTGCGGGTAGACCCAAGGTTGATACTTGGGAGAAACTTAAGAAGGAATTGAAGGATCAATTCCTGTCGGGAAACACATCATGGAATGCTAGGGACCAGATGAAAAAGCTCCAACAAAAGGGTACCGTGAGGGAGTATGTAAAGTAGTTTAGTTCCTTATTGTTAGACATTCAAAATATGTCCGAGGAGGACAAGTTGTTTAGCTTTATGTCAGGTTTGCAAGGCTGGGCGCAAGTTGAATTGCGAAGGCAGAAAGTGCAGGATCTGCCTAGTGCTATTGCTGCAGTGGATGGGTTGGTAGACTTCAAAAGTAGCAAGGAGGGAGAGCTTGTTGTTGTAACGAAAGCAAAGAAGAAGGAACACCAGGAAATCAAGGGAAGCAAGAAGAAGGACTTCCACTAGAAATCCTACTAGCGAAAAGGGGAAGGCTGTTGCTGGCAGTAGTTTCTCTAAGGTTGTTTCATTTGTGGCAGACCACATAGGGCTAGGGATTGCCCAAAGAGAGAAAAGCTTAGTGCTTTGATGGGTGAAGAGGGAGAGTCTAGTGGTGAGCAAGTCACTATGAATCCGATGCAATTGATGAATGCTATGAGGGTAGAAACGGATTCAAAGAAGAAAAAGGGTGATACTTACCTCGGGGTTATGAGCAAGGGTGCCGCTCGAAATGCTCTACTGTTTGTGGATTTGAAAGTGAGGGATAGTCAAGTTAAAACTTTGCTGGATACGGGAGCAACTCATAACTTTATGGCAGATCGGGTTGTTTCAAAGGTGGGGCTAGCACTTTCCAAGAGTCCTACAATGGTAAAGGCTGTGAACTCTAGTGCACGTGGGATGACTGGAATAGCTTACAACGTGCAAGTATGTGTGGGCTGTTGGACGGGTAAGATCAATTTGACTGATGTTTCTTTAGATGATTTTGATATTATTTTGGGAATAGAATTCTTTGAGGCAGCCAAGGTGTCGATAATACCTTACTTGAATGGCATGATGATAAATCATGAATCAAGTCCTTGATTTGTATCTTGCTGTTCATCGGGGGTGAGTAGCAAACTAGGACAGGCTAAGCTTACTATTATCTTAGCCACGTCAATGAAGTGTGGGCTGAGGAAAGGACATGAAACGTATTTGGCGACAATGATAGAGATAAAGCCTGATGAGAAGGTTGAAGTGCCGGATGCTGTGGCAGAGTTGTTACAAGACTTTGTTGATGTTATGCCACGAGAGTTTCCCAAGGAACTTCCTCCAAGACGAGCAATTGATCACAAGATTGAGTTGGAACTAGGGGCGTTTCCACTTGCTCGTCCACTCTATAGAATGTCTCCTATGGAGTTGAAAGAACTCCGAAAACAACTTGATGAGTTACTTGATGTAGGTGCAGTGAGACCTTCAAAAGCTCCTTATGGTGCTCCTATGTTGTTTCAGAAAAAGCAAGATGGTTCTCTTCGGATGTGTGTGGACTATAGGGCGTTGAACAAGGTGACAATTCAGAACAAGTATCCTGTTCCCCTTGTTCAAGATCTCCTAGACAGGTTGAGTGGGGCTTCGGTCTTCACTAAGTTGGACTTGTGGTCAGGATATTGGCAAGTCAGAATTGCTGCAGGAGATGAGCCTAAGACCACTTGTGTGACCAGGTATGGTTCTTATGAATTCTTAGTCATGCCGTTTGACTTGACAAATGCACCGGCTACATTTTGCAATTTGATGAATGGTGTACTATATGAATTCTTGGATGAATTTGTGGTGGTATACTTGGATGATATTGTGATTTATAGTTGGAATTGTTAGAGAAGATGCCCTAGAGCCAATCAATTATTATAGAATTGACTCTTTGTAATAATGTTTATTAATCAATAATAAAAGGCATTTTATCCTATATTGCGTAAATCATGATTATTGCAATATGTATTGATATATGTCCTTAGAATGGTAGAACTATGACGAGGGTATCAAGTGTTTCAAATCTTGATAGTGAGAACCCTATAAGCACATATGGTGGCCATTCTAGAAACGTCCGTAACCCCAGTATTATTCTGAAGTAAGGGCACAGATAATACAGTAAGGCTATCATAGTGTTGAACGACCCTGTTGAAAGGCAGTGACTGATCTCACTTGTCCAGGTTGTTTGGTGACAACCTGGTGCAACACATGGGTGCTTGCTGTAGGCGATTACACCGCAGCAAGTTCACTAGNATATCTGTTTCGTTTTAGTCCTTTTAAACATCTTCTTTCATCTAATTTACATAAACAAACTACCAGACCTGTTTCGTTTTAGTCCATGTAAACATCTTCTATAGATCATCTTTCTTCAAGATGAAGACCGTATATACTTCAACCCCAGGAAGTTAAAGCTTTCTGTTGCTTATATTTAACAGTCCAGTTTTAAAGAAAACTATATATATATATATAATTTGTTGTCATAAAGTATGAACCAACAGAGAAAAGAAAAAGTTTCTGATTAATGCTCTTAACTTTCATTTATTTGCAAGAGACTTTATATACAAAGCTTGGCTGACTAATTATTGACTAACTAACTAGTTAAGCAACTAATCCAACTAATTAAAATTGACTGATTAACAACTTAACAAACTAGCTAAAATAAGCTAAACGTGTTAAAACTGATAAACTGTTGAATTACATAAATACCCCTTCCAGATTTAATTCCTACATCCCCCCCTCAACTTGGAGCTAGGTGACAATCACCTAAGCCCAACTTGGACAAGAAATATTTAAACTGAGGAGCAGCAAGAGGTTTAGTGAAGAAATCAGCAAGTTGCTGTGAAGATGGAATGTGCTGGGAGTGATGAAACCTGCCTTGAACTAATCCCGAACCACATGACAATCAATTTCCAAGTGCTTAGTATGCTCATGAAAAACTGGATTGGCGGTGATGTGTAGGGCAGCTCGATTATCACACCAAAGAGTAATAGGTAGTGAGAAAGACATCAGCAAGTCTTGAAGCAAATAGGAAATCCATTGCAACTCACAAATTGTGGCTACCATACTTCTGTACTCAGCTTCTGCAGAGGACTTAGAAACTGTAGTTTGTTTCTTTGTCTTCCACAAAATAAGAGAAGAGCTAATGAGCACACAATAGCCAGTGAGAGACCTTCGGGAATCAGGGTAAGAAGCCCAATCAGCATCACAATAAGTTGTGATTGTAAAGGAACAGTGAGTTGGAAAAAATAAACCTTTAGAAGGACATCCCTTTAGATACCGTAGGATGTATAAAGCAGCATCTCAATGTTCTTGGCAAGGAGAATTAACAAACTGACTCAGCTGCTGAACAGCAAAGCTAATGTCAGGTCTTGTCAAATTAAGATACAATAAGCGGCCAATTAATCTCCTATATTGATCAGGAGAAGATAAGGGATTGGAAGATTCTGAACTAAGCTTGCAACCTTTGAGAAAAGGAGTAGAAACAGACTTTGCACCAACCAGACCTGTGTCTTCAAGGATATCCAAAATATATTTCCTTTGATTGATGAAAAGTTCCCTCTGAAGAGCGAGCTATTTCTATCCCAAGGAAGTACTTGGCATATCCAAAGTCTTTGATAGTAAAAACAGAATGTAGCTAAGCCTTAACTGCTCCAATATCACTTTCATTAGGTCCCATTACTAAAACATCATCAACATAAACAATTAGAGCCAAGAAACTATCTGCAGAAGGTTTAGTAAAGAGACAATGATCATGCTTGGACTGAACAAAACCATAGGCCAGTAACTTAGTGCATAATTCATGATTCCATTGTCTGGAAGCCTGTTTCAGGCCATATAAGGATTTTTTGAGTTTGCAAACCTCTCCATTTTGTGCCTTAGAATAACCATCAGGGGGAAACAAATAGACTTCTTCATCCAAACAGCCATGTAAAAAAGCATTGTTAATGTCTAATTGATGTAATGGCCAAGAAAATTCTCACTGTAACAAGCTTGGCCACCGGAGAAAAGCTTTCCAAATAATCCACCCCATAAATTTGATTGTAGCCTTTGGCCACTAACCTGGCCTTGTTTCTATCTATACTCCCATCTGGTTTAAGTTTAATTTTATAAACCCATTTTGTGCCAATTGGTTTTTTTCCAAGTGGTAATGGAACTAATTCCCAAGTATGGTTGGATTCTAAAGCATCAAGTTCAACATTCCTAGCTTTAATCCAAGCAGGATGTTGGCAAGCTTGATGATAAGAAGTAGGTTCTTGGATTATTGAGACATTAGCTAAGAAATTAATATATGTGTGTGATAAACAGGGCGGATCAATGTAAGGTAAGTTGGAGGTGTATGAATTGAAGAAAAATGAGATTTATCAACAGTTGAGATCTGTTGGGAATTATGACAATGCAGCACATAATCATTCATCCATTTTGGTGGCTGTTTAGATCTAAGACTTTGCCTAGGTAGAGAATGTTCAATTGGGATAGGTGAAATATTACTAGACTATGAATGTAGTTCTACATGATTAGGAGACAAATTTTCAGGAATCAATTCATTAGTAATAGGTTCAATATGCATAACAGTATCAACTCTAAGTGATGAATGAGTTTCTAACTCAGCAGAAGGTATAGAATCAGAAATATCAAAATCATATGTAGACTGTGGGTGAGATGTGGCAGGTAAACAAGCATTTTCTGTAGGAAACAAGTCTTCAAAAACAGAAGGAATTAGTGGCACACATGAAGACTTGTTTGCAGTAGAATCAGTAGAGAAAGGAAATATGTGTTCAAGGAAAAATACATCTCGAGAAACAAACATTGTTTTAGAAGACAGATCATAAAGCTTAAAAGCTTTCTGACCTTGATTGTAACCAATGAAACAACACCTATTAGCTCTGGGTGCAAATTTATCCTTGTGTGGCAATGTATTGGTTGCATAACAAAGGCAACCAAAAACCTTGAAAAAA